TCTGTGCTAGGGCTTCTGCTGACACTTCACTTGCAGAAAACAGTTAACAACAAGAGGAATTTGGGGCTGACACCAGATCCTTTGCCAGAATACTTCAGGGTGTGTGAGCAGCTTCTCTCTAAAGGTCAAATACAGTGAATTCGATCTGGGGGCGGGAAACACACCTTGTACCGCCCGCCAAGGTAGCCTTTGAAGTGGGTCAGATTTCCCGGGGCTGGAGGCTTCATTTCTGACTCGATGTTTTCCTGCTGGTACCTACAGGGAGATCAGATGCTGCTTCAAGCTTGCAGCTTTCTACTTCTGCGGTGGGGGGACAGCTCTGGGAGGGTTTCAGGTGGAGGAGCAGTAGTACCCCCTAGCTTCACCCCCTTTAGAGGTTACTTTGGCCAAATGACTTACACCCTGCAGGCCTGATTCTTCACCTGAAAACTGAGGGTAACATCAAAGGGCCTTTGGAGGGTTCCACAGGGCTCATTAAAGTGCTGGGTATGCGGAAATCTTAGGAATATAGTTCTGCTCCCTCATGTGAGGGCGTAGGGGTGGGCGGATGGCCTGTCCTGGGCAGGGCTGACCCAGTGCACCGCTGCCAGACACCTTTGGAAGGGGCTTCCCTACCATGCAGTGAATCCTTCTGAAACACTGGGAACTCCTCCATGCTCTGCTTCCTGGAGCCTCTTGAGGTCTAGCCAGGAAGGGCTTCCACGAGCATGCGGCTGCTCCCCTGTCTGCCCACGGTCCCTGGAGGCAAGACCGGGGCCCCACTCAACCTCAGGCTTGCTACTCTGAGGACAAGATCAGCTTGTCAGTTACAGGAAGGTTCTCCGGGGATCTGAGTGAAGAGAGTATCGGGTGATCTTGGGAACACCCACATTCTGGAAGGGCCATGTGGAAGGGTGGGTGTTGTCTGCAGAAAACATGTGTGGAATGTGATTGTAACTGGCGGAGGGAAAACCTACTCAACTGCACCACATTCCTATTTCAATGGTTTTCTAGACGTGGCCATCACAATTCCCAGGGAATCCACAGGAATCGCAAGGAGTGCTGGACCCCCTCCTCCAGCTCAGATTCACCTTGGGAGCCTAAAGAGAATGTGTCAGGGATCTCCAGCTTTGCCTAGGAGTGTCCTGAACCATGACCCTCAGTGGTTCAGTTCCAAAAACCTTGTATATAGAAAGGGCTACATTACAGCTTGATGGGACCAGTCAGCAGAGTCACCAGCCCTCCCCCCCCTTCTGCTTTAATTTTCTACTGAATTAGCAATTCCTAGCCATAATTTGGGTTTCCCAGGTGGCTCAGTGGTAATGAATCCGCCTGCCAATGCAGGAGAGGTGAGCACAATCCCTAGGTCAGGAAGATGCCCCGGAGGAGAAAATGGCAACACACTCCAGTATTCTTGCCTGGAGAATCGCACGGACAAGAGTCTTGCGGGCTACAGTCCACAGGGTCGCAGAGTCAGACAACTGAGCGGCTGAGCACAGCAAGCATGATTTGGCTTCAAGAGCAGATTTTCCTGGAAGGACTCAATGTGTTAATTGGCAAATGAGAGTATTTTACAACATCTCTTTATTATCTTTTTTTGCTGATGGCATGTAGGACTTTAGTTACCCGACTAGGGATCCAACCAGTGTCCCCTGCATTGAAAGGTGGATTCTTAACCACTGGCTTGCCAGTGAAGTTCCCATTGACGGTTATAATTCTTATTAGGTGAAAAACTTGCATCCTGGTTTATCTACCCATCTCCTATGAGTACAGGTGAGAGGTGGAGTAAGTCTACATGAGCTAAATGGAGTGTGTACTGCTTCTGGACCCACAGGCTCTGGAATTTCGTGGTCCCGTCAAGGCACTAGTGGCGGATGGTTGACACTCACCCATGCGACTCGCCCATGGGACCGTCAGGTACGGCATCCAAAGGCAGCGAAGAGGAAATGTGAGCTGCATTTGCCCTGCTGGATGCACGGAACTCCAGGAAGGCAGGGTTTCCTGTTGGAAGCGGCCTGGCTTGGCTCAGACACCATGGGAGGACAGCCACCAAAAGCTCTGATCTGCAGTGGACTGTGACCTGAGCTCAGCGTGAGCCTTTGCTGTGTCTGGTAACTGGGGTCCCCTGGGGTTCCCATCTTGGCCGTTAGCCGCGATGAGCACCCCCTCCCCACCCCCTCTTCTGTGTGAGCAGTTAAGGTGGTGAATTTCTCCAGCACACCCCTCAGGTTCAAGTCCCACCCACGGTGGGGGCAGGCAGAACAGGTTTTTTGGTATACAAGTGACCACCTTGTATACCAAGTGGGCCTGCTCTTACTGGCAAGAACAGGAAGGAAAAAGATAATTTCTGCAGCAGCTGACCTTTCTCCCCCTGGTTCTTTCTCTGGTCCCACTTGTCCAGGTGCTTAGTGTAGGGCCAGCACACAGCTGTGTCTCGACTCTCTTGGCCAGGGCTGGAGGGGCTGCTACTTAATTTTTTTTTTGCACAAGTTCAGAGGTCATCGAGCATTTATAAAGAAAATGTTTATTTTCCTCACAAGAAGCACACAGACTATATACAGTACACACCAACAGAAGTAAAAAAAAAAAAAAAGTGCATTATGCATCTTCTACTGCAAATTCACAGTACAAAAGATACTGCCTTTTAAATATATAATATAAAAAAACAAGAAGAAAAACAATATATAATAAAAAAATCATTGATATCATAATGCAACACACTGGCACCCACTGGCAGCTTCTGAAAACCAAAGGGCAGGCTGTCTTGGGGGGACGGGAGCTCCTGACTGGGGAGGGCGCTCTGTACCTGCATGTTGTTGCAAAGAGCTCAGGACACCAAAAGAGAGGAAAATGGGGGGGGGGGGGGTCAAGGTGGTAATAAAAAGCCTACTGAACAGAATAGCTGTGATGTGGAGAGGGTATAAGGGGAGGGGCAGGGCTGTGGTCCAGAGGGTGCCCGAGCTGGTCGGCCTACCAATCCTGTCTTATCTTTGCTTACTATATGGGCCCACGGCTGAAACAGCGCCTGCCTCGCCCATAGGGACCGCCAGCCAGCACCGCTTCTAGCGATGCCCCTGGCCTGGCTGTGGGTAGGTGCGGGAGGCCGCCCAGCAGATCAGCCCAACTATGGGGCAGGCAAACTCCAGCCCCAGCGCCAACCACCGCGGACAAGGCAAAGTATCCAATCACAGAAGGCGAAAGCGGAACGGCTGCCCATAAATACACAGTATTTGTAAACTATTATTAAGGCACTCGATTGTAAAACAATGATTACAGTGTCGAGGAGGAGGGAGGGAGTGGCCATCTCCCTGCATGGCGCGGCTGACAGAGAACAGTGGAGGATGGGGGTCTGGCTCTAAAGGGTCCCGCAAGGGTCGTGGGGGTCTACTACAGGACAAAAAAACGAGGTGGTCACGTCCAGATCCACTGCACGGTGTTGCTCCAGACCATTAAAGGTGACCCGCTCCACAGCTTGGGTGACAAGGCATGTGTGTGGAGGATGGGGAAGGGGAATGCACTTGATACTCTCATTCAAGTGACAGATGTATAGACACAAATATATGTATCTATGCAGAACGATCTCACACAGGTATTCATCTGCAGAAAGAAAGTGAAGTCATTCAGTCGTGTCCAACTCTTTGCGACCCCATGGACTGTAGCCTACCACATTCCTCCAGCCATGGGATTTTCCAGGCAAGAATACTGGAGTAGGTTGCCATTTCTTTCTCCAGAGCAGATGATAAAAAGACCAAATAGCTGAACACTGGGATCTGTAAGTACCTTCGTCTGGCCAAGATGCTGGGGGTAGGACAAGAACATGCAAACCTGCATCATGCTGTCTGGATGTCCTAAATCTCCCTGCTGGAAGGGAAGGGGTTCCCTCGCTGCTCGCGTGGGTCCAGGGAAGCCCTGCTGGCTGGGAAGCCAGAGCAGCATTTCCGGGCGACAGACAGCATGTTGATCTTCAGACACCTTGGGTGAGATTCTGCACGTGACCTCGACGCGATGCCAGCACTTCCTCTAAGGAGCAGAGGCCCCTGGGATGGGGCCTGAGTGTAGGGCTGACATACAGGGTTGTCCTGATGTTAACTCTATGGCCGTTCTGGCTCCATCCTAGGTATCCATCCTCTGGGCTTATCCAGGAAGGAAAAGGCTTAGAAAGGGCTGGAATGCTTTCTTAGCTGGAGAGGGTGGGATGGGTGGAGCAGAAGGGGGCTGGACAGAGCAGTCTCCTGGCCAATGGAACGGCCACCCCCACCCAGCAGAGAGCTGTTTGGCAGCCTGGAGGCTGGCATGAGCACCTGCACTGAGACCAGGGAGGAGGGGAGACCACGGGCCAGAACCCTGTTCTCAAGGCGTTCGCGCGGTGACGCGCGCCGCAGCGGACCAGAACCCTGTCCTCAAGGCGTTCATGCGGTGATGCGCGCCGCCACGGAACAAAGATGGACATCGGCAAGGCCACGTGCCCACCAGAGGGCAGCACGGTTTCCCCTCTCTCTCTGTGACCAGCTCCCGGCTTCGACTCAACAAAACTCAACTGAGAAGACCCCATGTGTCAATGCAAGAGGTAGACCTAGACAAGCTGGGTCTCCTGCTGGCATGCCATTCGAATGAGCAGGAAAGTGGGGGGTGGTGGAGGGGGAAGAGGAAACGCAGCTGAATTTATGGGCTACCAAGCTGATTCAGAAACCTTCGCTCTTGCCTAGTTCAACAAAGGCATTCCATGAAGACAGCTGGTCACCAAAATCCATGACTTTCACAGCATAAACCTCTGCCACCCATATTCGGAATTTCCCCCATACGCTAAGCGTAGACAAAGCATTGGTAAAGAAGAGGCATAGCTTATGGTAAAAACTTTCTTTTCAGAGACTATTAATGCATCTGTCTTTGTCGAGATGCCCCCAAACCTTGTAGAACGCTCTGGTCTTATAACATATAAAACAGTCCACCATAGGTTTCCACGCCACTGATCTGGGTCTTGGAGAAGAACCTTCATCCTCTTCTCCAGGCTAGAATGTTACCCATCAAGAAGGCTTCGCTTTGTTCTGATGGTGGGGACCTGGGCCCCAGTTTCAATGTTAACAGACTAACTTCTGACAATGAATGGATAACTCTGCCAAAAGCCAGAGACCCTCTCATCTTTATAATCCTCCTCATATCCTTTAACTGGATAAGAAAAACTATGGCTTTCAAAATGAAGGTCTTCAAAAATATATCATACCCGGGCATGGTTTTTAAAAAAATAAAAACCAACATAAGCCTGTCATCATCAAATCTATAGGATTTTTTTGACACAAAAATTGACCCACCACATAAAATGCAATTTGGCAAAACACTGAACCTGACACATTTTTTTTTGAGACCATGCTCTTGTGTTGGCTGAGAGAAAGGGGGAAACCCAACTGGGTTTTCTGGAATAAGTGGATCATCTAAGGTGATTCCAATTGACAGCAGTGGGAAAACAAATTCCTATAAGGTAAAATAACATATACTTAAAAAAGAAAAAAAAAAGTTCAGGGAGAAAAAGTTTCCAGAGGGTTCTTTTGCCAAAGCTCTACCCACGAGTTAAAACATGGACTGGCCTTGTTTCTGAAGACTCTGCATGGGGTGCTCCTAGAGGCCCAGTTTGAACCGAAGTAAGATGGAGACTCATTTACCCACTTCTGGAATTTGGCTGGCCCTTGAAGGATGTCTAGTTTCACTGAAATAATCCGGTGGGCCTGAGGGCAAGCTGCAACCGTGGGAAAGTTTCAGCCAGTAGGGGCCTGTCCCACCCCCAGGAGAAAAGCATTGGGGATGGGCGGGCAAGGACTGGGTCGGGAGGAGGGCAGGGTTTGGCCTGAGGTGACAAGAGAGGCGGGAGGCCTTCTAACTCCCCAAGGATTTTCTTCCCCAAGGGCCTGGGGCAAGCCCTGGGTTTTCAAGTAAAACCAGGGTCAGCAAAGGTTTTCTATAAAGGGCCTGATTGTAAACCATCTTCGGTTTTGTAGGCTACATGGTCTCTGTTGCCTGTTTGGTAATTTTTGGCTAACCCCTTGAAAATATGATAAAAATAAAAACTAAAACCCATCTTAGCTCATAGGGCCACACACCCCAGCCATGGTTGGCTGACCCCTGCATTAAATCTAACCAACCTCTTCTCTCTCCAAAATGTTTTAACATCCTGTCTTGCCCGCTGACATCAGAGGAGTCCCTCCACTCAAGATCCTCGGAGGGGCCACCCCCAGAGCCGGGCGGGACCTCAAGTCTTCCCGGCCCGCTGGGAAGAGCCGCGGAGAAGCAGGAAGCAGCGTTCTCACCGCAGGAAGGGGCGACTTGTAAACATCTGAGCAGCTTCCCACCAGTCCTGCTCATCGGAGAAGCTGCTGCCGAGCTGTTCCTTGAGTGACTGAGTGTCTCTCATGCTGACATCTCCTTTTCCTCCCCAGACTTGAGTGCGTGTGACCTAATGAACCTGAGTGCCGGAGCTCCCGGTGGGGTGACCCATGTCTCCAAACCCCTCCCCAGCCCCGCCAGACGCTCAAGCGCCTTCGAAACCCTCGTAGGACCGTGTGGGCTTCTGCAGCAGGTGAGACTCAACGATAACTTTGTGGGTCCTTCTCCCCAGATGGGGGCGACAATGAGGACCACACACACACACACATTGGCCCCTGCTTCCTCCAGGGCTGGCCAGACCCACATCACTTAGCTGTGACAACACGCCAGCACCAGGAAGTCAAAGCTCAGAGGACCTCCATGCGCCCCAGAGTCAGTTCAATGACAGCAGCTGTGCCTTCCTGTCGCTTTAAGTAGCGGTGTTTGGTGTGGGCAACTTTAAAAGTCTTGACGCGTTTTGGGGGGTGGGGGGGGGGAATGGGTCCTGACAGCAACGAAAGAAAAGTTCTCTTTCAGAAAAAAAACCTTTTCTGACACAGCATTTTCCCTGGAACAAGCCTTGGTTGTTACTGGATTTTTTAAAAATAAAAAAAGCGCACAGCAGGATCAGAGGTAGGAGTTCTAGTGCCATCCACGGGTTTCCCCACGAGGGCCTGCATGAGCAAAGATGAGCCCCTGTGGTGCTGACGCCGACACCACGGCTATTCGTTCGCAGGTTGTGCATGGAAGGGTTTTTGATGCATGTGCATCTGCATATAAACGCTCTTCTTAAAACATGTCTTCTTGGAAACACTTGCTTTGGGGTCAGAGTCTACTGGCCGACAGCTGCTGGTTATCCCAGGCCACAAACACCCATGCTCACCCCTCTCTTCTTGTGCTGTATGTTCGGCAATCTTGTTGCTTTTTCTCCCCTCTGCAAAGAGAAGGGGAGGAAAAGCGTGGATAATGCCAATCGCTTAAGGGACATCCAGATGGCAGGGGTGGACCAGAAATCCACAGGGAGGCTAAGGGAGGGATCGCACAAGTCCAAACGCAGCCAGAGGTGGGTCAGCTTTTGCCCGGCCATGAAGGGCTTTTCAAGTTTTCCAGGGCAGATTTCCCTGATGGTTTCGAGGTTGTGGCCGGACTCTTGGTGGCTGCCAGGGGCTCGTGCAAGAGGGAAGACTCGCTCAACCTGGTGTCCTGGGAGTCGGCTGCGGTGGACACGTCGGCCTCGCTAGACAGGTCCTCAGTCGAAAGGTTGAGGCTGCCGAGCTTGGCCAGGGAGTGGGAGCGCTTGAGCGGGGACGAGACGGTGAGGCCCGCCAGCCGGAGCCGGGTCTCGATCTCCTGCGTGCGCTGCTTCACTAGCCCTGGCTTCCCGCGGACGCTGTGGATGCTGTCGCTGCTTGAGCTCCGCGTCAGGTTGGAGCTCATGGAGGATGAGGTGGGGGTGTAGCAGATGGTCTTCAGGAAGTCTTTGGAGAAGTGGCTGGCGTGGTCCGGGCGGCAGAGGAAGGGCGGGGGGCTCTTCAGCAGGGCTCCCTCTAGCAGAGGGGGGCCGGCCTCAGGTTTCTCGGGGCCCGGGGCTTGGCCGGGCAGAGGCGAGTCCGGGTTCTCCTCAGGGATGGCAGCCGGGCTGTCCCGGCAGGGGGCCCCCAGCTCAGCCGGCGTGCCCTTCAGCCTCTCCAGCTCTTTGGTGTGCTTTCGGACCAGGCCCGCCCTCTGCAGCTGGATGATGGACTCCTGGTGCTGCATCAAGTAGCTGCTGCTCGTGGGCTTCTCGGCCTCTTTGCTGAACAGGAGCCGCAGGTCCTTGGCCAGCTTCGGATCTCTCTTGGGTGGCGAGTCTTCGTTCACTGCTTCCGAGCCGGGAGGGTTCTTATCACAGTGAGAATTTTTCACGAGGAGGGACTTTGGTAGGGCTTTGTGAATCTCTCTGGAAGGTTCCGGAAGGCTGGCTGGGGGCTCCGGGGCAGCCCCGGCCCCTGGACCACTGGAGTCTGGCCTCCTCGAGCCTGTTGGTGGTAGGAAGGAGGCGGTTTCGGTTGGGACAGAGGCCAGTTTCTCCAAAGCTCGGGATCTGCTGGCCACGGGGGAAGACGTGAGGTGGGGTAGGAAGGTGGGCTGGGTGCAGATGGCAGGAGCACCGGGATTCTTGCATCGCTCCCCGAAGGCCTCGGGGTTCCCGCCAGCTGCAGGGTACATGCAGTCGGTGCAGGATTTGTAGGAAGGCTTCACTTTGTTAAGGATCCCAAAGATCGCGTCATGCTAAAAGAGACAAGAGTGTGGTGAGGATGCAGTACAAGCTGAAGACCGAAAAATACAGGAGGGTGGTGGGCAGTGCTCTCCCTTTAGCTGGTGTAGGGACAGAGAGCTCTCAGAACCAGAACCTGCTTGACTGTCACGTATGCAGGTTTGGAGACAAGTCAGAGACACTGAACTTCGTGGCATCTATGAGCCCACGATCCTGGACAAATCCTTTGGCTACATGGCCAGGAGTGGGACCTCCAAGGGCCTCCCTTCTCAAACCCCGCCTCTGCCACCTGCACCAAATGACCCTTTCCAGCGCCCTGATCTCACCTGGAAACCAGGGTGACTTTGCCCTCAGAGAATCACTGTTGTTGTTGAGTCACCCAGTCATGTCTTGACTCTTTTGTGACCCCACCAGGCTCCTCTGTCCATGAGATTTCCCAAGCAGGCACACTGGAGTGGGTTGCCATTTCCTTCTCCAGGGGATCTTCCCAAACCAGGGATCAAACCTGTGTCTCCTGCCCTGGCAGGTGGATTCTTTACCACTGAGCCACCAGGGAAGCCCTCAGAGCATCCTGGGGATTAGTGAAATCGCGTTTCTGGCACAGTGACCAGGTCTCCCCTTTAGAAAGGGTCTGGGGTCTGCAGCCTGATGATGGACCCTGCACATCTGGCACAACAGAGCGCAGCTCCGAGAAACCATCACCCGACTGTGTTCTCCGCAGAGAGGTGGCGAAGGGCAAAGACAGCTTGGGTGCCCACAGCCTCGACGAGGGAACCAGCCGGAGGTCGGTTTCAAACACCAACGGTGTCTTTAAGACTATGTAAGATGGTGCTGGGGGATTGCTATCAATTTTCCCAAGGTGGCAGTGGTACTGTGGTCCCGATGTATATGGAAGCATTTGTGATGGGAATGGCAGACCAGGGATTTGATTTGTTTCCACCTGATGTGACGAGCCAACTCGTTGGAAAAGACCCTGAGGCTGGGAAAGATTGAAGGCAGGAGAAGGGGGCGACAGAGGACAAGATGGGGTTGGATGGCATCACTGACTCAATGGACGTTAAGTCTGAGCAACCTCCAGGAGGTGGTGAAGGACAGGGAAGCCTGGCGTGCTGCAGTCCATGGGGTCGCAAAGAGCCGGACACCATCTGAGCAACTGAACAACGACAATTCGGGGTGTGGGAAAGTGTATGGGGGTGAGATGAAATGAAGAACAGCCACATACTGGTAAAGATCAAAGCTGGGTAACAAGTTATAGGTCTTACATTTTACGTAAGAAAAAAAGATTTAGAAGCCTTGCCTAACACAGCAACAGGGCAACGGGGTCAAGGGAGCAGTGTTTAGACATTCCTCGGGAGCCTCTGGTCCTCCACTGTCTACCACCCCCAAGGGCCTGCAGAACCTCTCAGAAATCCACCCAGCGGCTGCCATGGACAGCCGTGAAGTCGGGGAGGGCGACCCCAGGGCAGAACCAAAATGGCAGGCGTGTGTGCAATGCCCGCGCCCCTCACACCCACCTCAAAGTCATGGCAGGCATGCGTGCGTGCCACGCCCGCGCCCCTCACACCCACCTCAAAGTCACGGCAGGCGTGTGTGCGTGCGACGCCCGTGCCCCTCACACCCACCTCAAAGTCATGGCAGGCATGTGTGCGTGCCACGACTGCGCCCCTCACACCCACCTCAAAGTCACGGCAGGCGTGCGTGCGTGCGTGCCACGACTGCGCCCCTCACACCTACCTCAAAGTCACGGCAGGCGTGCGTGCGTGCGACGCCCGTGCCCCTCACACCCACCTCAAAGTCACGGCAGGCGTGCGTGCGTGCGACGCCCGTGCCCCTCACACCCACCTCAAAGTCACGGCAGGCGTGCGTGCGTGCAACGCCCGTGCCCCTCACACCCACCTCAAAGTCACGGCAGGCGTGCGTGCGTGCGACGCCCGTGCCCCTCACACCCACCTCAAAGTCACGGCAGGCGTGCGTGCGTGCGACGCCCGTGCCCCTCACACCCACCTCAAAGTCACGGCAGGCGTGCGTGCGTGCGACGCCCGTGCCCCTCACACCCACCTCAAAGTCATCCGGGCAGCTCCGCTTGCTGTTGTTGTTGTTTAGGTTTTCCTGGTTGAACAGGTTACCGAGCTGGGCTGCGGGCCGCCCCCACCTCCCGGCTCCCAAGGCCTCCTCCCTTTCCATCTCCTCCGCCTGCGGCGAGGAGCCACCCTGGGCCTGGGGGCCCCCAGGCTCTGGTTTCTTCCTCACTTCCCTCTCGCAGAGCCCGGGGCCTTCTGGGGGTGGTCTGGCTGGCTGGGACGCCTCTGCCAGCTGAGTGGCTTCCTCCAGCAGAGCGTCCCTCTCCAGATCCTCCAGGTGGACAGGGCCGCCCGTCTCGTCGTCGGGGGCCCGCAGCAGAGGGTCTGACAGTCGCCGGAAGCAGCAGGGCAGAGCGGGGCCCCCGAGCGCCCCGCTGCCCGGGAACGCAGGCGGGGGGCCAGCGGCGTCCAAGCAGGGTGGCTGGGCTTCTCGGGTGCTGTCCAGGGTCTCTGGCTGGAAGTCCCCAGGCCCCGCGGGGTCATCCCCAGGCTGCTGGAAGCAGCTGTCGTCGGCCTGCTGGCGCCACAGCTTGTTGTGCCGCTGCTTGCTGGGGGAAGAAGGGCAGAGGAAGGTGAGCCTAGGCCAGTGCCCAGAGAGTCCTGGGAAGAAGCTGGTGGGGCAGGGCAGGGGCAGCCCAAGGCTTGGGTGGACACCAGGGGCTCACCTGGGTGAAGCCTCTCTGGGATCATTTACCCCCGAGACATTCAAGGATGATGGAAAAGGCCCTGGGACCCTAAGTCATCATGGCTCCCACAGGAGTGATCTGTGGATGGTCACATAAACAGCTCTGTCATGTGATGAGGATGCTGCAGACACAGGGGTCTGGACCTGAAATCCTATCACGGCCCCAGTGTCCCAGCCCACTTTGGCGAACCTGGTCACACCACTTACGCTCCGTCTCTATTCCCCGCCCTCTGTCAAATAAGAAACTGAATCTTTTCCTACTTCCTTTGTAGGGAAATAATGCAGATGTAAGCAGAGAGTTGGTAAAAATTTACACACATTCACGTGACCACGTAAACATGTGGCTTGCTGTTGTTCTTCAGTTAGCACTGTGATCGTTCATGGCCATCTGCTCTGTGTGTGCGCGCCAGGCCAGGCCAGGCCAGGCCGGGAGGGCCCTCAGATGGGGCTGGGATTCAAGGTCAAAATGCTGTGCTGCAGTGAACCTGGCCTGGAGACCCCTGGCTGGGCTGCAAACCGCTGATGGCACACGTGACTGAAGGGCTGAAGGAGCGGATGCGTCCATCCCCGCCCCTCAGCTCTGCCTGCACATCTGTCCAGCTGCTCTCCGGCTGACAGTGAAGGAATCTAGGGCTGTCCAGAGCTATTCTCCAGACCCCCAGCTGCCCCTCAGACGTGGCCAAGAAGCCGGTGGGCTTGGCCTGCAGCCTCCCCATGGCGCTGGGCAGAAACAGCTGTCACGGAGGCCTTGGACAGACTGGGCGGAAAAGGAACAGGGAGAGTGAGTGGATCCACCTGGGGTCACTGCGGACCCCTCCGTGGGGGCAGGATCACCCTGCATGGCCTGGGGACTGCCCCTCCTCCCCGGGCCACCCTCTGGCTGTATGACATGGGACACCTCAACCTCCAGTGTCAGTTCCAGACTCCCCGTAAATGAGGGATCCTCTATCTTTTGCAGGAGAAGGCAATGGCACCCCACTCCAGTACTTTTGCCTGGAAAATCCCATGGATGGAGGAGCCTGGTAGGCTACAGTCCATGGGATCGCAAACGGTCAGACACAACTGAGCGACTTCACTTTTATGCATTGGAGAAGGAAATGGGAACCCACTCCAGTGTTCTTGCCTGGGGAATCCCAGGGATGGGGGAGCCTGGTGGGCTGCCGTCTATGGGGTTGCAGAGAGTTGGATACAACTGAAGCGACTTAGCAGCAGCAGCAGCAGCTGTCCTTTGCAGACCTTTCTCACATCGGGGTAGGTAGGTAGGTGGGTGGTGGTAGTTAGAGAATTAAAAAGCAGCTACGTCATCACTGACCACAAGATGGGTCTACTGAAGCATCTGGATGGTGCTCGTGGAAATTTCACAACAACCCTATGAGGGGGTAGTGAAAGTCGCTCAGTCATGTCTGATTTTTTACAATCCCATGGGCTGTAGCCTGCCAGGCTCCTCTGTCCATGCGGCTTCTCCAGACAAGAATACTGGAGTGGGTGGACATTCCCTTCTCCAGGGGATCTTCCTGACCCAGGTATACTGGAGTGGGCAGCCTGTCCCTTCTCCAGGGGCTCTTCCTGACCCAGGAACTGAACTGGGGTCTCCTGCATTGCAGGCAGCCAACTGAGCTACCAGGGAAGAGTAGGAGGCGGGGCAGGGGGAATGGGGTTACTTCTTAACTCAGGAGAGGAGACTGTGGCCGGGACAGATGGATGAGCTAGGCCTGAGCTGCCAGCTTGGCGGCAGCGGTCTGCCCCTGCAGTCCCTGGGGCTGCCCTGTGGTGAAGCCTGGCATGGAGGTGGGCACAGAGCAGATGCTTAGGAAACGGGGCAGCCCCAGGCCGAGCCGCACGTGGGAGTCCTGCCTTGGATCAGAAGCCGTGCCCTGCTCCCTCCAGCCACAGAACAGCTTTCTGTGCGTGCCAACACAATCAACACAGATCCCTCCTGGAAACCGCTAATCAAACCCCAAACAATAGCTGTTTTGCTCAGATGGGCTCCCCTCCACCCCCCTAACCCCGAGGCAGGATTTCTGGCTGTGGAAGCCAACCCTGGACTGGACGTGAGCATGGCTAGGCGGTAGAGCTCCTGGAGCCCGGCTCGGCTGGTCGGTTCTTCCCGGCACATGGTCACCCACCTGGCGTCCAGGATGCCTTCATACTCAGACAGCTGCCTCATAAAGCCTGCGTTGGGGCGCGTGATGCTGCGTTTCTGCTTCACGTAGTTGTAGGCTTTCTCCAGGGTCCAGCCAAATTCCTTCATTGCATAGGCTATGACGGTGGAAGCCGAGCGACTGACGCCCATTTTGCAGTGGACCAGGCACTTGGAGTGGTTCCTCCTGCAGCGGCGGGGGCGGGGGGCGGGGGGAGAGGGCAGAGCTTACGCAGCTGCATTCTCTCAGGTTCCGTGAGACAGATATTTTTAAAACAAAAAACCCTGAGGTTATCTCATTACCCAAACCCTCTGAGGTCCTGAGGGTAAGGTAGCAGGTGTCCACAGACCCTCAGAAAGAAATAGCTTGGCTGCCAAATCGATTAGCATATAATGGGAAACCGAGACGGAGCTCTCCAGCCAGGCCCAAGTTTGGCAGGGAGAGAACTCCTGAATCGGGCCACCACCAGGGACAAAGCAGGAGTCTTCCTGGGTTGGCTGGGACGGGCTGGAGGACAAGAGCCCCTTGGGCAGGAAGCAACTGGGCAGCAGCGAAAGGGGTTATCTGCAGAGCAGATGGAGACAGGGAGTGGGTTACTGCAGGAAAACGGGGTCAGCGGACTGAAAGCTCCAGGGCCCTGGGAGAGCGAGCGCCTCTGCAGACAGGTGGGTCAAGGAGCCACCAGAGAAAGAAGCCAAAGGAAACAGATGGGCCAATAGGTCTTTTGTAAGGAGATGGTACGGGTCCAGGCAGGGCAGATTTAACAGACACGGCAAGGCCAGGAACACTGTTGTTTTAGCTGTCGCTGCTCCAAGAAGGTGAGGGGGAACAGGCTGGGGGGCGGGGGCGGGCACAGGCCGGGGAGGCCGCACCTGTGAGGGCTTATTGGTACAGGAGGTCGGGCGCCAGCCTCCTGTTTACATTAGAAGCAGCCCACCTGCCTGGTGGGGACAGGCTCGCTTCCTTTACCCCAGGCTTGAAATTCATCCTCAGATCTGAGTTTGTTTTTTTTGGACTGCGAAGTCTATGCCCCGGGAACCCAGGGGAACTAAGATTTGGTTCCACATCACGGAGCTCTGAGCTGGAGGGGTGCAAAGCAGAAGGGGTGGGTGTCTCTTGATAGCATCTCAAGAGCTGTTTCCTGCTGGTGCTACTTTAGGGAGACAGAGGTGTTCCTCGGGAAGGTAAGGTGAGGACAAGACAGGCTGATGCTGGTGACAGGCTTGAGGGCAAAGGGGGATGGCCGATCCCACCCTATGTGAACGGGAGTCCAGCGAACTCAGGTGGAGGCGGCCACAGCTCCAGGCACTTGCCCGAGTCGATGTCTGGGCAGATTCTCCGGGCCAGCAGCCCCAAAGGTCCTCTGAGTCATGTCTGGCCCGCATGCCCCACTCTCTCCTCCAGCTCAGCAACTCCCCACGGGCAGAGCGCCTGAGAGTGTGCGCTTGATACAGAAGCTGTGCCTGGAGCCAGAGCTGATGATGAAATGGGGGTCAAATGGCACGGCAGGTGGGAGAAGGTGCTCATTTGGGGCCCCGGAGAAGATGAGCGACTTGGCCCTTCCGGTGCCTGGGGTCAGAGGACTGCGACGTGCCGCTGGCCCTCGAGCCAGGAGGTGGCTGTGTCCGGGGTCCCTGCTAATGTCTGCCCGCCAGTGGGCGGGCAGTCAGCTTCCTCCCCAGCCTGGGTCTCTGGCTTCTCCAGCCACTTACTTTGCTTTGTTTATGAAATGGTACGCCTCGTTCCAGTGTGCGAGGAGGTCTGTGCTCTCTTCATCATAGACTCGGATGTTATGGTAAGCAAATAAGCCAGGGAAAAAGTTATCTATTTCTCTAGTGACGTTTAAAATATAGTCAACGCTGCAATGAGAATAAAAAGATAAAGAACAAATTTGGAGAATCAGAACGAGGACAGACAAAAAACAGAGTAATAAAAAATTGCGCAGGTAAAATTAGATAGTCAATGGGAATTTGCCATGTGGCTCAGGAAACTCAAAGAGGGGCTCTGTATCAACCTAGAGGGGTGGGATGGGGAGGGAGATGGGAGGGAGCTTCAAAAAGGAGGGGATGTATGTGTACCTATGGCTGATTCATGTGGAGGTCTGACAGAAAACAACAAAATTCTGTAAAGCAATTATCCTTCAAAAGAAAAAAAAGATAACACAAAAGAAAAAAAACTGTGCAGAGAGAACATTAAATACACATTCATAAAAGATCTGTGTTTTCATGGCAGAATTTCATAGTGGGGTTGGTTTTTTTTTTCTTTTTTTGGTTTTTTGTTTGTTTTGAAAGTGAAAGTCTGTCGCTAAGTCATCTCCCATTCACTGCAACCCTCTGGACTGCCCGCCAGGCTCCTCTGTCCGTGGGATTCTCCAGGAAAGAATACTGGAGTGGGTTGCCACTCTGGTATCTTTTAAACGCCCTCTGTATGATGAGAATATATGTTTATGATAAAAAACAAATTTCTGCATTAAAAAACTTATAAAAAGAAAGATTCATTCAAAGCATTTTCAAGCAATATTAATTCTAGAAATTCATCATATGTATTATTTAAACACATTTTTTAACTCTCTTAAAGATTCAAAATTCTAACTGTTATAAGTATACAGAGGCTTAAAAAAAAAAAAACCCAATGTCTCCACTTTTAAGTAAACTGAATATATCCATCCATTATTTATGCCCTTGGGAATTGCCTTAAATCCTTTTTCAAACAAGACAGGCTATAAATAAATAAATAGTCTGGAGGGTTTGCTAATCCAGTTAACCCAGGTTCTATAGTTCTCTACTTAATACTTACATTCCTGGAAGACCAAAATAATTTCAGGAGTTTGAAAACACCTCAAATAGATCTCATAAGAGAATACTTATAAATGCTTTAGAAAAAAAAGAAAAACCTTTAAAATCATTTATTTATTCCCAGCAAGATAAACCATAGATAGGATCACCCTCCACTTCAAGATCCCTTTCGGTTGAAAGAACACATCTTAACCAGTAGCTCTGAAGATATATTTTAAGATTTGTTTAGTCTTGACTTTTAAATGCAGTAATTCAAGAATGCCATCATGTCAGACACACAGGATGGTGATTTTGTGGCTGTGTTGTTTTTTAAAAAGATGTCCAGACACTTGTCCTTAAAGGTCTAGATTTATACATTTTTTTTATTCCTGCTGCCGAGCGTTTCTCAGACTGAGGCGTAGGTTTCTGGCCAACACTGAGTCTCTAACTGCAGGTGTCAGGCTCAGAAGTACCACCTCAGATGGAACCGGGAGTGGTCTGGGAGCACTGCTGACTGGCTCACAGGCACTGGGATGCTCTGCATCCCTGCTGGGCAGTGGGGCAGTAGGAGGGGGCTTGTGGCCCTCCCAGCATCCAGGCTGCCCTGTATAGTTCGAGGGTGGCTTAGAATCTTTCTCCCTGACACCCACATTTCCAAACCCCAGTGACATCTAAGGCCCCCGAATTATTCAAGGAGGTGGCATTTCGAAGCACATATGGTTTAGCTATGCCAATCAAGCAAGCCAGCAGCCGCACTGGAGACTGGGGTGCGGGCAATTCCGGGCGGGCGGGTGGGCAGCACCAGGGCTTGGCCTCAACGGGACGGCCGAGCTGAGTTTCTAAGCTGCCTGTAAGGACGAGGGAAGACAAGGGGAGCAGACTCACCCTGAGCCCTGCAGTTCCTCCAGGTTGGATGCATTCCATTCAGAGCCCTGGGGGACAGATCACACAGACCCCTGTGAGTGTTGCACGTCAGCTCAGGGCTGCCTGCGGGATGCGCGGTGCACACCAGCCCTGAGGGTGCTGTGGAACCTCGACAGCCCCTGGCCTCAGAGGAAGCCACCTCAAAGAGGCCAGTATCAAGGCAGGCTCCCGAAGAATTCAAGGCATTGTCGGGGAGAAGGGCAGGTCAGGAAACCCTGCCCCCTCCCCTTCACCACTCCTTTTCCTAGGTCTCTGGCAGGGTCCCGGGCACCAGAAGCAGTGACCTCTGACCTCCCAGGCGGGAGAGGGCACTTCTACACGCTGCTCACTGCAGGCAGGAATGGGTTTACCTTTTCTGGGAAGTATTTGGCAATGTTAAAAAAGTTCCCACCCTCTGATCTACAAATTCCACTTACAAAAGGCTACCCCAAGGAAACACCCAGAATTCACATAGGAATGTATGTACAGGGATATTTACGGTTATTTATAATAACAGATCAGCAGAAATCACCCACGGGTTCGACAAGAAGAAATCAGTAACACAAATGATGATGGGTCCATGTGATGGAGCCGTTGAAATAAATCCTACTTTTGCAGGGTATTTAATGACACAGGGAAATGCCACATAGTGAAAAAGGGTTTTCTAAAGCAGGATACAAAACTACAAATCAACTAGTATGGTTCCTTTCCTTTTCTTTCTCTTTTTTAAGAAGTTATAAATGCATTAAAAAAAAAAAACCCAAAAGACAGAAAAATAAACATTCCAGAGTATTAACAGTGACTGCCTCTAGACAGTGAAATTGAGAATGCTTTTTCTTCCTTAGACTTGTATTTCCTGGTGGTGATTCAGTCATTCAGTCATGTCCGACTCTCTGAGACCCCATGGACTGTACCTGACAGGCTCCTCTGTCCATGGGATTTCCCAGGCAAGAATACTGGAGTAGATTGCCACTTCCTCCTCCAGGGGCTCTTCCCAACCCAGGGATCAAAGCCACATCGCCTGCACTGCAGGTGGATTCTTCACTGCTGAGCCATCGGGAAGCCGGTTACGTTTCCTGACCATCTGTATCATGTTTTTGTTTTTTTCCAGCCGCTCTGCGCAGCACACAGGATCTTAGCTCCGTAACCTGGGACTGAACCCGAGGTCCCTGCATTGGGAGCTCAGACTTCCCTGGACCGTCAGGGAAGTCATACGTTGCAACTTTGTATTTTAAAAACGGTTTTCTAAAAAAAACAAACCCTCCATTTCCAAGCAGGCAAAGAATACAGAGGGGGAAGAAAAACCCAAAGATTAAAAACACCACTCCGGCCTGGTGCACTGGGAAGACCCAGAGGGATTGGGTGGAGAGGGAGGTGGGAGGGGGGACCGGGATGGGGAATACATGTTAAAAAAAAAAAAAAAAAGATACACTATGGCTGTGATAAAAAATAAATAAATAAATTAATTAATTAAAAAAAAAAAAAAACCACCACTCTGCTCTTAGGAAATGGGATGGACACAGAGTCACAGGAGAGGCAGCACCCTCGTGGTCTCCCGATAAACTTTCCTTCCCAAGAGGGCGGACCCTCCGGAGGCAAGGGCCCCAGTGGAGCTGGCAGTGTGCGGGCAACTAGCTGGATTTTTCATACTGGAGGGAGAGGCTCAAATATAAAAATTCCTTTGGTATCTCTCATGGAAAAAGTGACATAAAGCACCGAGCCACGCCGAAAAAAATAACGAGAGCTCTGCCACGGCCGTGAGCATCCCCTTGCCGTGATCACCACCTAGTGGAGAGACCAGCCGAGGTGCCTCTGGCTGTATGTCCATCAGGGAGGACAACCCACTTCGCAGGGAGAAGAGTAGAAACAGGACTGCTTTCAAGATTGGGGCTTCAAATCCACACATTTGTAACCAGTTTACATATATACTACATTAAATATTTATAGATTGGTGTTATAGATCAATATATAAAAACATGTTAAACATATATTTACTCCATTAAGTATATATCAAGACATACACATTTGGGGAACTACTGATAACTTCCTACAGGCAGAAAACAGTCGGTCACCAATATGTTCTCTCATATTGCTCTCTCATAATCTCTCATATTCAGCAGCCAATATGCTCTCTCAACTTTCCCAAGGAAGTGATTTCTGCTCTGGCCATGGCTACCACCTATGAGTGCCTACAGAAATGACACTCGGTGTTTAAATACACACTAACTTAAGCTTTGTAAAAGTCCGCTGAGCTATGTGGGTGCTTGCTCAGTCACTCAGAGTGACTCTGTGACTCTTTGTGACCCCACAGACTGTAGCCGGCCAGGCTCCTCTGTTCTTGGGATTTCCCAGGCAAGAATACCATTTCCTCCTCCAGGGTATCTTCCCAACCCAGGGATCAAACCCTCCTCTCCTGAATTAACACTGAGCCGCCTGGGGAGGCCCTTCTGCCCAGAGGTATAGGATGAAGGAAAAGTGAGGCCAAAAGGATTGCTCCCAGGCATCTAGCTGGTCAGGCTGTGGGATGGGAACTTGAGTGTGGCTGGCAGGGGCAGGGGGAGGGTGGTTTCCGGTCTCCATCATGCCCTGCAGACTCCTCACTAAAGGAGCGTGCCTTCCTCTCCGTCCCCCGACTCTGAAATCGTACCTTCTATGGAGACTGACAGCTTTATGAAAATCTGAGTGAGAGACGGGGTGGAGGGGGTGACGGATGTGCAGACCCTGCTGCTCCCTCCACAGGTTCTGGGAGCAGGGCCAGGGCAGCCGTGTGTACCAGCAGGGAGGGCGGGGGAATGCTGCCTCCTCTACCTTTTCTCACGTCTTACGACGCCGAGGCCTAATTTTGGGGTTAGGCATGTGTGCTCCCTTCAGTTAACTGGGCTTTTTTTTTTTTTCCTTCAGCCCACAGACCATTTGGAGGGGGTTTCTGGTAGTGACAAAGGAAGGCGGGAAGGTGGCGTGTGTCTGAAAAGGGCAGTCAGCCGCCTACGGCAGAGAGCTTTTCAGACAACTCCCCGCAGCTCAGCTGGGAGCCTCGGCTCCAACATCTGGCTTGGGGAGCAAACAAGTAGGCTGCGGGCCAGAGAAAAGGGTCAAGAGGGGAGTTCCCGTAAAAGTCAGGACGGAGGCTCCAGGAACTCAAGTTTCTCCCCCCTCATGATTTGCTGCAAACTCCAAACAAATCCCGGTCTGATTTACATCCCCCAGCCCTGAGCCAGGCCCCACCGGGCACTGTGCCTCTTACGAGATAAAGATGGTCGAAGATGAGAGAGGGCTTGTCCATCTGTCCCAAGATAAGGAGCATCTCGTTGTCTATAAATTCCTTGAATTCTTTCAGGTTACAGTTCATCTGTTTCTCTAATTCATTACGAATCTGCAGAGTGGAAAATATTAGGAGGGTTTAAAAAAAAAAAAACCCCACAACAAACCAGTTCCTTCAGAGGAGTCAAGTCACAACAAGAACTATGCTGTTGCTGTTTTCAGTCTCTTGGTCGTGTCTGACTCTTTGCAACCCCTTGAACTGTAGCCCCCCAGGCTCCTCTGTCCATGGAATTTCCCAGGCAGGAATACGGAGTGGGTTGCCATTTCCTTCTCCAAAGGATCTTCATGACCCTGGGATTGAACCTGTGTTTTCTGCATTGGCAGGCGGATTCTTTACCTCTGAGCATCCTGAGAAGCCCAACTGTGGCTGTTTTCAAAGGAAGTATTTGGGGGCTTTTTTCAAGAGTCATCACATATACATTTAGACATACCGAACACACGCGTGGGTGGCAGGAAAACAGGCTACTCGGCCTCAGAGTGACTCTGACTGGGGGATGTTTATTTCAAAGAAGGAATCTGATTCCCTGGGATCTTTTCTACTGAGCTGAAAGCACTTAATGCTTTTCCAATGCTCAAATCTATCACTGTGAAAACGTAAGATCAATTTCATCTTGCTTTGGAAGATACCATCATGGGCTTCATTATGTATTATTTCATAAAAAGACTGTTTTGTATACCATCAACCTGTTACTGAATTCAGCTGTTACTATAATTCACAGCATTCCGCGGACAAAAAGCAACAGGAAGAAGAAAACAAGTGATCCACAGAAACATTAAAGGGAGGTTTCACCTGGCTTTGGAAGGATTTTTTTTTTACACGCACTAATTTGTAAACAGATCATATGTGACTTTTACAATGGCAGCTTCAACCTCTTGGATCTACCCAACCGGAAGCAGGGACGCCCGCAACCTCGGCCTACCCAGCAGGGACGTGCTCTTACTTCTTTGGAGGTCACGTTCTCCAGGTCTTGACTCATCATGATGCTCCGGAGTTTGGCTTTGATGAGACGCTCCGTCCTTTCCCCTTCGGTCGGCCTGGGGAGAAGTCGTGTTTAGGGACGTGCAGAACTGGAGGAGGCCTGCGGTCAGCGTTCACAGGAACCCCAGCTGCGCCTGGGCAGCACAGAGCACGGCTCGGGCACGTTCTCAGCGAGAAGGGGAGCGGGGCAGGGACGTCCCCGGGGGCTGCTGGGGCAGACAGCAGACCGGGGATGCAAACGGTGGTGGCGAGGCATGTTCACTCCTCATGCGGGTCTGTAGAGCCCCAGACTCTCAGGGCTGGAGGCTGGAACCCCCGGGGCCCTCAGGCAGCCCGTGGCCCAGCTGTATCCGGCTCCTGTTACCCCCTTACACGTTTAAACAGACCCAGCATCTGCAAGCCTCCCTGCACCTTCTACAGGCCAGCCTGATCCTGACCCTGGGGCCACACGGACCAACCAGGACAATCCTTCTGGCATGTGACATGCCTTCATTATACTTGAAGGCACATATTCTCGCCAGTGCTCTCGTAATTTCTTGGAGGCCTCGTACACGTGGCTTCTGGTCCTCCCCACATTTGCGGGGCTCCCCGCCCTGAGGAACAGGACACTCAGGACGAGGAGCTTACAGGAGAGAAGCGGCGGGCGGCTCCCTCCCTCGGGACTGGAGCTGAGTGTGGCCTCAGGGCACGCAGGGCACCTCTGCTCTGAGTGGCGCCCCGGGCCTGCTATCACGCAGTCGTGTTTTGGGACCCACGGGACCACACGCTACATTCATCTTATAAATGTATTCACTCTTATAAGCAGAGGAAGAGGCTTTGCAAGCCCTGTCTGTGGCCCTGGGGAGGAGGGGCTAGAGCTGAGGAAGTTACGGAGCTGCTCCCTGGGCACGCATTCACACCTGAACTCGTCATAATCTCCAAAGGGGGAGTGGAAGTCACAGATCCTCCTCCAACCAAACACAACGCCTGGGGGCTGCAGGTCAGGAACCCCTGACAGGGCTGTGACGCTGTGCGGTCCGGGGTCCAGGGGTCCGGGTACTCACTTGTCTGCGAACAGGGCGGGGGAGTCGGGCCTCGTGGATTCGAGGTCCTGCATGGCATTCCACTCGTTGATGCAGCTCTGCTCGGAGCCGATGCAGCTCTCGTAGTAGGAGGCCCAGAGCAGCGCCACGCCCCCCGGGAAGTAGTTGTGCCGCCGCGCCACCTCACAGGCCTTGTGCAGGACCTGCAGGGCAGACCTGGGGCCCGGGGAGGGGAGAGGGTCAGGGGCAGGAGACACAAGGGGGCCGCGGGGCCGCTAGGCCCCTCTGCGGGTCTCTGGGACACGGGGCAGCGACCCCGAGGGCCAAGGCAGCGCCTGTCATCAGCCCCAAGGAGAGAACAACAAAGTTTCCTAACTCGCCCAGTCGGGCAGGCTCCCAGGTCATGTTCCAGCCTCAGTGGCTCCCAAGGACGGATCCACTGCTGGGGCTGCGGTTACCTTGAAGGCAGGGACCCCAGTTTAGCAGAGCAGTTGGAAGGAAAGTTTCCTCAACACGCGGCACAGAGGTCTGGTTGTGTCCTCATTCAGTTAATTTTCAGCTCCCTCCCAGCAATGTCAGAATAGCTTAGATGCTCTGATTTCCTAGGGAAATGAGTTCTAGAAACTAATTTTAATATGAGAACTACAGAGGAGGTTTGGGAAGGCAGTGGGGCAGAAAAAACGAAACTGCAGACGCATATGGTAGCAGCCAATTTACTTATCCTTTTCCTACTTCTTTTTACAAAAATAAGGGCTGTCTACATAGAAAACCCTAAAGACTCTACCAGAAAATTACTAGAGCTAATCAACGAATACAGTAAAGTTGCAGGATATAAAATTAACACACAGAAATCTCTTGCATTCCTATACACTAACAATGAGAAAACAGAAAGAGAAATTAAGGAAACAATACCATTCACCATTGCAACAAAAAGAATAAAATACTTAGGAGTATATCTACCTAAAGAAACAAAAGACCTATACATAGAAAACTATAAAACACTGATGAAAGAAATCAAAGAGGACACAAACAGATGGAGAAATATACCGTGTTCATGGATTGGACAAATCAATATTGTCAAAATGGCTATACTACCCAAAGCAATCTATAGATTCAATGCAATCCCTATCAAACTACCAATGGTATTTTTCACAGAACTAGAACAAATAATTTCACAATTTGTATGGAAATACAAAAAACATCGAATAGCCAAAGTAATCCTGAGAAAGAAGAATGGAACTGGAGGAATCAATCCGCCTGACTTCAGACTATACTACAAAGCCACAGTCATCAAGACAGTATGGTACTGGCACAAAGACAGAAATATAGATCAATGGAACAGAATAGAAAGCCCAGAGATAAATCCACGAACCTATGGTCACCTTATCTTCGACAAAGGAGGCAAGGATATACAATGGAAAAAAGACAACCTCTTTAACAAGTGGTGCTAGGAAAACTGGTCAACCACCTGTAAAAGAATGAAACTAGAACACTTTCTAACACCATACACAAAAATAAACTCAAAATGGATTAAAGATCTAAATGTAAGACCAAAACTATAAAACTCCTAGAGGAGAACATAGGCAAAACACTCTCCGACATAAATCACAGCAGGATCCTCTATGACTCACATCCCAGAATTTTAGAAATAAAAGCAAAAATAAACAAATGGGACCTAATGAAACTTAAAAGCTTTTGCACAACAAAGGAAACTATAAGCAAGGTGAAAAGACAGCCCTCAGATTGGGAGAAAATAATAGCAAACGAAGCAACAGACAAAGGATTAATCTCAAAAATATACAAGCAACTCCTCCAGCTCAACTCCAGAAAAATAAATGACCCAATCAAAAAATGGGCCAAAGAACTAAACAGACATTTCTCCAAGGAAGACATACAGATGGCAAAAAAAACACATGAAAAGATGCTCAACATCACTCATTATCAGAGAAATGCAAATCAAAACCACAATGAGGTACCATTATACGCCAGTCAGGATGGCTGCTATCCAAAAGTCTACAAGCAATAAATGCTGGAAAGGGTGTGGAGAAAAGGGAACCCTCTTACACTGTTGGTGGGAACGCAAATTAGTACAGCCACTATGGAAAACAGTGTGGAGATTCCTTAAAAAGCTGGAAATAGAACTGCCATATGACCCAGCAATCCCACTTCTGGGCATACACACCGAGGAAACCAGATCTGAAAGAGACACGTGCACCCCAATGTTCATCGCAGCACTGTTTTATAATAGCCAGGACATGGAAGCAACCTAGATGCCCATCAGCAGACGAATGGATAAGGAAGCTGTGGTACATATACACCATGGAATATTACTCAGCCATTAAAAAGAATTCATTTGAATCAGTTCTAATGAGATGGATGAAACTGGAGCCCATTATACAGAGCGAAGTAAGCCACAAAGATGAAGACCATTACAGTATACTAACACATATATATGGAATTTAGAAAGATGGTAACGATAACCCTATATGCAAAACAGAAAAAGAGACTCAGATGTATAGAACAGACTTGTGGACTCTGGGAGAAGGCGAGGGTGGGGTGTTTCAAGAGAACAGCATCGAAACATGTATAGTTATCTAGGGTGAGACAGATCACCAGCCCAGGCTGGGTGCATGAGACAAGTGCTCGGGCCTGGCGCACTGGGAAGACCCAGAGGGATCGGGTGGAGAGGGAGGTGGGAGGGGGGACCGGGATGGGGAATACATGTAAATCCATGGCTAATTCATTTCAATGTATGACAAAAACCACTGCAATGATGTAAAGTAATTAGCCTCCAACTAATAAAAATAAATGGAAAAAAATAAAATAAAATAAAATAAAATAAACAGCAGGCCCTTTAAAAAAAAAAAATAAGGGCTGAGTATTTCTCAGTGAATGAGGTGGATCAGGTATCAGTGAAGGGCGGACGAACGAGACCTTGGATGGAAAAATTATCAGAATAAATGGCTACAGTGAACAGTGTGTGGGGGGCCGCCCTTAAAAGGTTGGACACAGAATTACCACATGATCTAGAAATTCCGCTCCTAGGTACATTCCCCAAAGAACTGAAAGCAGGGATTCAGCAGATACTTTGTCCGCCAGAGGTCACAGCAGCTCTATTCACAGGCGCCAAAAGGAGGAAGTAACCCAAACGTCCATCAAGAGACGAACAGATAAACAAAAGCAGTATATCCATATAATGAACTTACTATTCAGCCTTAAAAAGGAATGAAGTACTGCAACATGGATGAACCTTGAAAGCATCGTGCTAAGTGCAAGGAGCCAGACACGGAAGGACGAATGCTGTATGATCCCATTTATATGAGGGACCCAAAATAGGCAAATTCATAGAGAGAGCGCGAAAGATAGAGGCTACCAGGGGCTGGGAGAGGGGACAATGGGGAATTAATGTTTAGTAAGTGCAGAGTTTCTGTTTCAAGTGATGAAAAATTCTGGAAATGGAGAGCGATGATGGGTGCACAACACTGTTAATGTATTTAATGTCACTGAACTGCAACCTTAAAAATTGCTTAATGGACTTCCCTGGCGGTCCAGTGGTTAAGCTCCCAATGCAAAGGGTATGGGTTCGGCGCCCCTGGTTGGGGAACTGAGATCCCATGTACTGCACAGAGTGGCAAAAAAAAAAAATTCTTAAAATGGGAAATTTTATGGTACATGTATTTTGCCACACACATAAAATAAACATACCTAAATGTGCTTCCAAAGAGATGGGGCTTTTTAATTCGTGCTGTCAGCTAGGAAAATATGTGTAAGGAGTTAAAAGTCCCTAAAACCACACTTACCACATGGCCTGGACAGACACAGGCTTGAAGACGTGCATCCTCCCGGCGGTGCTGACGCTGAACCCACTGAGGATGAAAAACAAGACGGCGTGGTGAGAAGGCGGGGCCCCCAACCACAGCACTGCCAGGCGGCGGCGGACACCCTGAGGACAAGTCTGTCTCACCCTGTCTGACAAGGGACCGCTGGCCACAGAGACAAGGGCAAAAGCCAGAAAAATGAGAGACAGGCCGGAAGACCGGCTTCTAACCCACCAACGCAAAGCCAGCCAAAAACCGAAAGCCCAGCAAACGGAAACCCCAGCAGTGGACACTCTCGCCTCGCTTGCCCACCCCGCTCCCCAACTTCTGGCCCCCCCCCACACTATCCAGGTTCTCTTTTTTCATTAGGGTCTTAGGTGCGGGCATGTGGGATCTAGTTCTCTGACGAGGGATCAAACCAGGGGCTCTCTGCATTGGGAGCTTGGAGTCACAGCCACTGGACCATTAGGGAAGTCCCCATCTGTGTTTTTCAGAGTTGCATAACAAACACATTAAGGAAAGATAACAGCTTAAAAGGGAAATATATATGGCAATTCCCTGGAGGTTCAATGGCTAAGGCTCCTTGCTTTCATTGCAGGGGGCACAGGTTCGATCCCTGGTTGAGGAACTAAGATCTTGCAAGCTGCAGAGCAGGGCCAAAAATTTTTTTTTAAGTAGACAAATAAAAATTAAAAAAAATTTAAAAAGTAATTGTAAGCCCATGTCTTAAATCTAATTTTAATTTTTCCCTCCCAGTTTTATCTATGCAGCCACATAACTTTTCTTGCTGGAATCTCAGTGGAGATCATTTCCTCTCCCGCTTCTTCCGTACCTGCCCGTACCTGAGGTCCCCCCACCTCGCTGCCGCTCTAGGATCTGGACCACCCTCTGGCCCTGGTCTACCTGCCCGGGCCCACTGGGATGATTCCTCCGCTGCAGCGCCCCCACGTGGCACCTGAAACACCACTGCACCTGTTGCTTCTGTGTCTTCCCTCAGCCCCCAGAGACCGGAAGTCCAGCCGCACCATATTCACCCATGCACTTGCAAGGACCAGCCCCAGGGAGGGCACACGGCGAGTGTTCATTTAATAACTCAAGGCAAACAAATGAACGTCTGTTTAATGCTCTTCTTGAACTTCATACAGCAGAAGATCTCCCAAAAAGCACAATGTTTCTCATGACCCAAACTCCCTTCTCATTAGAGGTGTGTGCATGCTCAGTTGTGCCTGCCTCTTTTCAACCAAATGGACTATAGCTGGCCAGGTTGCGTCCATGGGATTTCCCAGGCAAGAGTAGTACTGGGGTGGGTTGCCATTTCCTCCTCCAGGGGATCTTCCCGACCTAGGGGTCGGACCCATGTGCCCTGCACTGGCAGACGGATTATTTGCCACTGAGCCCCAGGGAAGCCCAAACCCCCTGTAACACGTCCCAAAGGGAGCGCGCCTTGTGCGCCTCTCGGGAGGGCAACGCTACCCCCTGGCGTCATCCACGTCACACACGAGAGTGTGTCGACGATCATCCGACGTCCAAGCTGGCTCATGTTTCAAAGCCTACAGTGAGCGGTCTCCTTACCCGTCTCCATCGAGGTGGATCTTTGTGTCGCTCCACAGGCGGAGAACCATCCCGATGGTACAGCTTTTACTACACCGGAGGAAGGAGACATCTGCAGTTAGGGGCCGCCCTCCTGCCGAGCCCTTCCCTCGCTGGGCCTCCACCCAGCTGGGCCAGTTCACGGGGAGGCACCACACCTGCCCGCGTCCGGCTGCCTAGGGGTGCATCCGAAGGCAGGGACTGCTCACCACTGAACTCCAGACGGCGCGGGCCTGGGATGGCCAGAAACCCCAGCTTAGAGACAGTCACGGGGGACCACGACTCCATAAATGCCAGGTCTGAGTGCAGCTCTCAGGGGCCAGGAGCAACCAGCTGACCACACGCCCGCAGTGCAGCGGGGGTGAAGCCGACAACGGCAGGCACATGCCTGGCGTGAGGCTACACACAGCTTGGGTGACACAGGAAAGTGGTGGCAGCTACCCTCCGTCTCCTGTCCTGGGCTGGCGGGGGTGGGGGGAGTGCCAACACCAGGACTGGAGTTCACTTCTGGACCTCTGCTTCTGTACCTGCTGTGCAGCTGGTGCTTTAAAATTCAGCTTAATCTGCTTTTTTTTTTTTTTTTGCCCATCCCAACAGCGAAACGATACCTGACCACTTCAGAGCCTGGCATTGCTGAGAAACACAGACGGAAACAAAGGGTTTTATCAGAGGGTCTCCTCGGATCACTATGAAAATTCTTCAGGCATTTGAAAAAGAGTCGGCTTGTGAGAAAACAGCCATCACTGCCAGGGCCAACTCAGACCACCTCTGGGGACCCTACACGGGCATCTCTGCTACCGGCTGACAGACCCTAAGGGAGTGTGGCTATGCACACAAAACCACGCACACGGGCAGTCCTTGGGTTTACGAAACCCACTCATCCTCCGAGTATCAGCAGCCGTGGGGGATCTTTTCAAACCCTGTGCTTCTGTATCTGCCTTCCTGTTACTTCACTTACTTGTAACAAGCAATGGAGTCTTGGTCACAAGGGTGGGGCTAGCGGCAGCCCCCTCGCAACAAGAGGAGACAGCACGGTCTGCCTCTATGGCTCATGGTTTCTGCTATCAATTCTGCCTGAAATGCTCTTTCAACGCACCCTCTGACCTGCCCCAACCCCGGACTCACCTGACAAGCCCACTCGTCCTCTTAAGACTCGGCTTAGCCAGGGCCTGCTTCTGAAGGCCTCTGGCAGGCTCCCCACCAGGCCCACGCCTCTCCTGGGTTCCCACGACCACCCCACACTTCTCCATCACTGGGCAAGTCACCCTGACTTCTGGTGACAGCTCTCTCCCCGCTGAGCTCATAGGCTCCTTGAGGCTGAGAACCATGGATGCTGATGCAGCCCTGTGTGCCCGGGCTGAGCCTGTCGCCTCATGCTCAGGAGAAGGCAAACGTATGGCTTGCTTAGTGAAGAGCAGGTTAATGAGGAATAAAGGGAGTCTCCTCTAGTCCAGCTTTAACAAATTCAGGTTCTGCAATGACCTCACTCGCATTAACTTCTCCGAGATTTAAGGAGAGTCATTCACCTCCATTTCACACACATAATAAGGTCTATGATATAACTATTAGAAACTTGGCCTCCAGTTGTTGGGAAATTCCCAACCTCTCTTCAAGCCTCTGACCCAGGACCCATCAACAATACTTGGGAATCCACGGGGTATTAATACTGAATCAGGCCCTTGACATAATGCCCATTGGTCACACACTTCCATATGGGATGGTCGGCCTGGAAGGCACCTTCCTGCTTTACCTGGTCTGGCTCCTGCTTGCCCTGAGGTGTTCACCACAGCTGTCACCTCCTCCAGGAAGCCCTCCTGGTTAAGGTGCCCTCTCCCAGGGCACCCCTGGGACCCAGGGTTAAATCTGTAAGCAGAGTGTAGACCCTAAGCTCTCAGAGCAGAGACTGGACCAGCACAGCACATGAAAGCTAAAACGAGGGGCTCCATGGTCCCCAGGGCCTGACCACCTTGTCAGCTACTGTCCCCACTGTGGGTGTGGGACCCCAGAAACCTTTTTCCAGCAGCAACTCCTGGCCCTGTTGCAGAGGGGAGCCACTGTGCAGAGCAGACTCACCTCTCCTTACTGGAGAAGTCAACTCCCAGCAGGATACTCTCCTCCGTGTCCTGGCGCCCGCTGCTGTCCACCACCACCATGTAGCGGACCCGCTCCGCCCAGGCACTCTCCAAGCGCACGGCCTAGATGGGTGGACATGCTCTCGTTGGCCTGCCTTTCCAGGCGGCCGCCCCTTCCTCCACTAGCCCAAGACCAGAGACTTTCGTTTTTATCTTTCCTTTGAGAATTTTGGAATTAAGATGAAAGTGTTATATCTGGTTATTATCCCCAGCATGCGGGACAGCACTTGGCTCAGAGAAGACCCTCAAACTTCGTTAAATACAGGTGAACAAATAAAACCCAGAGAAAGACGATTCCAGCTCAGCACAGACTGACCCAGAGACCTTATCCATCCTTTCCTGCACCTTCTGGGGACAGAGGAGCAGATGGGGATTTGGTCTTAGTGAATAGCTTGGGAGAATCTGCTATAATGTAAGAGAGCCAACCCGCCCCCCATTCCCCGACCTCTCTTCCGACTCTTGCTCGTCAGTAAGTGCCTACCAAATGCCACAATTAAAAATGAAAACTTGCCACTCTCGTCTCTTCTTACCAGCTTGATTCTATCTTCACAACGCAGAAGGTTGATCATGACTTGAAGATGCTGAGGCAGGTCCCCTGGTGGACGAATGGAGCAAGTTTAAAACAGGTCACCCACCTACTTTCTAGGCAGACGCCCAGGAGAGGCTGGTTTCTGAGGGTCTGGCAGACCTGGACTTCCCTCAGCACACTCCAGAATGCTGCACAGTGAGCATGGGGGAAGAGAGTTCACTGCCAGGTTTTTTAAAGTTGCTTTTGTTTTATGAACTAAGTGTAATGTGGGTTTTTTTTTTTTAACATACAAAATCTGAAAAATACAAACAAGCCAAGAGGAGAAATCTTATTAAATTCAAGCAAACGTGACTTTGCAGGGGGTGGGGGGAGGGCAGCAGAAACTACAGACACAGATGAAGAGAGGGATTTGCTGAGGGCTAGTCTGAAAGAAAAAGGACTTGGGGTTATTTTCCACTTAAACAATCTGCCTTCAGTGCAGGAGACGTTGGTTCAATCCCTGGGTCAGGAAGATCCCTGAGAGAAGAGAATGGCAACCCATTCCAGTATTCTTGCCTGGAGAATCCCAAGGACAGAGGAGTCTGATGGGACTACAGTCCATGGGGTCACAAAGAGCTGGACATGACTGAGTGACTAACACGCACACACCACTTTCCATAAGAAAGGGTGAAAGACAATGATTTCTATAAGCAGGAGGGGAAATGTTTTAAGTCACTCCACAGAGAGCAGGTATGTGCTGGGTACCCAGAGATATAATTTGAGTAAATAGCAATGGCATTCTTTTCTTTCCTGCTAAAAATCATATACTCTTTTTCTGTTTGTTTCCCCTGGGCAATTGTAAAGAGATGGGAATTCAGGGTCAGCCTCCGAACATCACTGAGTGGCCGCAGGGTCCCTGGGGATGCCTCTGGGCTGCAGGGAGGGGAAGAGAGTTTCTTGGAGGTGGTGAGCCTCCAAAGCCATGCAGGATCCAACCCACAGGAGAAGGGCTGCATGTCCCAGGCACAGGGGACCCCTAACTGAGCTTCGTAACTAGTAAGTAGGGAGGGTGGTTCCAATGCCGCTTTTTTCCCTAGCTTATGTATATTTCAAATATGTCTGTGTGGGGTTCTTTCTGAAGAAATGGTTCAGCTGTAAAGATGCTGATGCAGAAGAAAAGTGCAAGGAGTAATTCACAGAAAATCCATAAACATTTCAGGTTGTACAACACTGCTAAGAAACAATTATCTCAAGAAAAAAAATGATCCTACAGATTACAATTAGAACCCAGAGGGATTAACCCATCGGATGTGTCCCTTTTTTTTTTTAAACTTGCTTTTCCCATATAATTTAAGTTGGTATGCTGAATTTTCATTTTTTTATTTAGTTCAAGAAATTTTTCTTTTTTATGGCCATGTGGTGTGTAGGATCTTAGCTCCTTGACCAGAGATTAAACCCCTTGCACCCTGCCGTGGAAGTGCAGAGTCTCAAACACTGGATGGCCAAGGAAGCCCCTGGGCATGTTCCTTTGGCAAAAAGCATCTTTTTAATCTCAGAGAAGGTTGACAAATGATGTGCAAACAGCACGTCCAGCCTCAGAGAGGAGTCAGTTTGTTGGAAACCTGCCCCCTTGTCTTCCCTCTTCCAGGATCCCACAGAGCACAGCACCCTACGCTGGCACCACGCCCCGCGAGGCATGACCTGGAGGGGACGATGCTCGTTCCGTTTCTCCACCCAACGGCACGCTCAGCTGTCGTGTCACCACCGTCAGGATGGCACACACCCACCACAGCTGGTTCCCGGCTCGCCTGGGCGCCCCCACCGCCTACTCCGAGTCACGGAAGCACACGGAGTGTGCATTGGAAGGCGGACCCCAGTCCCCGGTCTGATGAGTGGCTCAGTGAAAACAAAGCTTTCCACACAGAGAGAGGCCTTTCAGTGGGGCTGTCTGCTGAGACATGGAATTGCTGACAGAGAGAAATCCCAACCTCGGGCCTGGCAGCCTCACACAGTCTCTGCATGTTAAAGTGTTCAGTAAGCACTTGCAAAAAAAAGCAGAGAATGTGAGTCTGAAGTATAGGTCGGCCCTGGAAAGGAAGAGTCTCGGCCCGACTGGACTGAGCAGAATTACTTAACGTGTAGAGAGTTAAGCCGCAACTGTCCTCAGCTTGGCACAGGGTTTGCTTAGGGCCTGTGGGTCATCCGGGGGACTTGCTGTGAAGTCCAATGTGTGCCTGACGCCCAGTCATGTACTGAGCATCTGCGGCCAGTGGGCAAGCCCTGCTTTTTTGAGCTCACTGGCCCCCCCAGACCCCAGGGCAGAAAAGCCAACACATCAGGCTCCCTTCCCATTCTTGTGGTACCTTCCAGAGATGCACCAACCAGCTGGAATGAGGGATTTTACAAGACAGTTTTATAGCCACTTCCCCAAGATTGCACACAGTATGCAAATATTCGTTGAATTTGAGGAAGGAGACATTTAATACTTAGGGAACAAAACTGAGCACTGGCTTTGCTTACACGTTATGGTTAAGCCACGAACAGCAGTTTACACTCCTAACAGGGCAGAGCTGCTGCAGATTAAGGAGCAAAGGTTCTGTTTGTAGTTTTATTGCACCAGCAGTCACTGTAGCAATAATTACAGCTAAGTAGGCAGAGCACCTAGGAGAAGGTAGGCCTGTTAATGTGCACAAATTTTAAATTTCTCGTCATCTGAGTTACCGATATTTGATGCCCACTGTAAAGAAAGACTAGGAGACCAAGGCTCAGAAATTGATTCTGAAAGTTCTGTATGCTTGCAGAACTGGGATCAGAAGCCAGGTCTGTCTGGCTCCAGAGCAAATATTCTTTCCACAAAACACACTGCCTCCCTGTGCAGAAGGATTGCTTACTTAGCTTACGACAGACCTAAATCTTGATTATAAATATCGGCATGTGACAATATTGACTGAGCCTTGGGGTTTGCTATAAAATCTAAGACAGGAAATTCTAGCCTAGGGACTCAGCTCCCAGATGAGGCTTGACTGACTTGAGGTTAGACAAACAAGATGACCGAAGCGACAACAGAACTGGCCCCGACTGCCAGCTTCTTTGATTCGCTGTTGTTCTGAGAGGCGAGGTCTTTCCAGTGCCTATTCAGACATGAGCTGCCCATCCAAGAAGTGCCTGGAGACGCTCCCCACTGGCTACAAAGATCCACTTGTACGCAAATGCCTCCCTAATCCTTTACTCCCAAATACCTTCAGGTTCAGGGTCAAGTCACCTAAGAAAACCAGTCTTATTACTTTGTTCTTGTTCAGTCACTCAGTCCGACTCTTTGCAACCCCACGGACAGAAGCATGTCAGGCTTCCCTGTCTTTCACTTCCTGGGCATTTCTTTTCTTTTTTTGAAAGGTTTTTTTTTTTTTTTAATGTAGACCATTTTTTAAAGTCTTTATTGAGCTTGTTACAATATTGCTCCTGTTTCTCTGTTTTGGTTTTTTGGTCACAGGCACCTGGAATCTCACTTCCCCAACCAGGGACTGAACCCGCACCCTCTGCATTGGAAGGCAAAGTCTTAACCACCAGACCGCCAGGGGAGTCCTTGTAGACATTTCTTATTTCCTTGCTTTTGTGCCTCAGTATTTGGTTTGATCTCATGTTATAATTTCTGTCTACTTCCAAAAAACCAACCCACCATTAAAGATTAAAGACTTTTCACCCCAGTACATGCCCAAGGTTTGTAAGAAATTCCCAAATGAGAGCTTTCCAAATGCTCAGAGCAATGACAGACTAGACATCTAGCACCCCAAGGCAGTAATTTTCAAGGGGACAACATCTGGCTATAAGGTGCTCTGGTGCATTCGTTAAAAAGGCATGTGAAGAAAGTGAAAGTATTAGCTGCTTAGTTCTGTCCAATTCTTTGCGACCCCGTGAACTACAGCCCGCCAGGCTCCTCGTCCATGGAATTCTCCAGGCAAGAGTAGGCAGCCATTCCCTTCTCCAGGAGATCTTCCCGAACCAGGGATCAAACCCAGGGTCTTCTGCGTTGCAGGCAACTTCTTTATCGTCTGAGCCACCAGGAGGAGCCCAGGATACTCTAACTTAAAATCTGCAGTTAACTGATAGACTGAATAGGGAATCTACATCCAAACAGAAAGCTGCTGACCTTCTTATATACACATGTGTGGTCAAAGGGTTGCTGGCTCCCAGGGCCGTCAGGAAGACACACACGCCTCAAGAAGAGAGCCTCTAACCTGCACCTGTCATTACCAACCTGTGCTGCGCTACTTTCCTGGCCTTGAAAACCAGCCAAGCGCTGAACACCAGGGTTGGAGGGTTGCTCGGTTGCACAGAAGGTAACTCCCTGGGTAAGAGCATCAGTTTAGAGCCATCACCTGCATGCTTGTGGGGGTGCTGAAGACTCCGCTGGCCTTGAGGGCTGCTTCCCTGCTGTAGGAAGAGGGCTGCTCCTTTCACCATGAAAAAGCTCTCACTTAAGCTGGGGAGAGGAAAAAAAACAAAACACACAGAGCACAGTCAGGCTGGAATTCGCAGAAGAAAATGGGCAAAGACGAGCTGCAGAGGAAAAGCTGGAGAGTGGCATATAAAAACGCCAAGGGGATGAAATAGTTCCGTGGCGATTCCACACAGTACTCCCTGCTGCTGGAGAGTTTACAGGATAAAGGGGGATACTTCGGCTACAACACCTGAGGGTCTCCGTGGGCACCTCCAGCGCTCGGAGCCCCTTCCTGCAGGACACTGTGAAGGGACCCCACTGTAATATGATGCCTTCTAGAAACAGAGGCCGACTGTCTGATGAGCAGAGGATGGCTCCTTTTGTGAATTTTTCAGACTTTTGCAGTTGATCTCTGCCCCCAGCGCTCTGAACTTTTTAACAGCCTCACTGCTTCCTGGTATCCTCGGTTTACAGAGCATAAGGAAGATGAAATCACACTTTCACAATCTGTTTGCATCTTAAGAAAAACGGTGGCTGTGTCCACTGTTCCCATAGAAAAGCTCGAGTTAATCCAGTGAACTTCTCAGCAGAGGGAATCTTTGGTCTTTGTTACTTTAACAGGCAATAATATCCATAGTCAACATGTGATTTTAAGAATTACAATAAAAATTTCACTTTCATGACTTGGCTACCAAGAAAATCTTTAGCTTATGTAGAAATCCAGCCTGTATGAACTAATAGACTATATCAGCTATTAATTACCACCAATGACTTAGAAAAAACCATCATCTCTGAAAACTACACATAAGACACACCAAAATTATTAACAGTGCTAAGGTTATCTTCCTTCTACTTAGCATCTTCCAAATTTACTGTATTGAGCAAATATTAACTTTGTAAATGATATTTTAACTTTCAAAGTCATAAGGCAAAACATTTCATTTTTATTCATTTATATGTAAAAGATCACAGTTCAAATTATAGGGAGCTATATACATCATTCATTCTCTCTTGAGCAACCAATTAACATATCTGATTGAAAGAAAAATCTCTAAGAAACAGAAGCACTTTAAAAAAACAAAAAAACAAATCAATTCTTGACTGAAACACAAGGACATCTTGTGTAACATAAAACAAAATCATCATTGCCTAGGACAGCTAAAGTTGGTAGTTAAACATTCTCATCCTGGAATATTCAGCTAAGTCTAAAATACAACTCTAGGAGCTAAGAAACCTCACCGCAGGGGCCAGTGTCAAGTCAGCAGTTTCTAGAATTTAAAAAAAAAATGGTTATCTTCCATACTGTGAAGACCGCCAATGAAATCTGTTTGTTTTTCTGCCTCGCACGCTAAAAAATCACGACGGCTCAAAAAACAAACGTTAAGGTTCTAGTTCTGCCCCTCTTATCCTACTGACAACTGGCTTTATCTCATTCCTTCGGGCAAGAGTTCACACCTGGATGGCGCTTCTTCACCCACCGTCACATACTGCCAAGTCACCCTTTCCACCCTGTGAGTCCTGTACGTGTGGTGCCAGTCTCAGGCACTTAGGAGTCTAGGACTGTAAATTATGGAAGAAACAAGATGCACCCTTTCTGTGAGTCTCACTTACCCACGGCAGGCAAAAAGCTTGTTAGCATCCATTGGCCGACAGATAACCCAGGCTGTCTAGTTCGAGCAAGCGGCGGAGGCCTGCCCCATGATTTTCTACCCCTGAAACTTGTCACTCACCCTTTCCTTAAAATATTACAACTGAGTTTGTTTTCCGAACTATGCTGTTTTAGGTAAGACATGGATCACTTACTACCTACTTTCATCGCTGCCCGAGAGACTCCAACAAAACGCATGGAACTTCAAACAGCAATCAGTTCATCGAAGGAGCTGGCAGGGGGCAGGTGGGGGGGCGGGGGGACTCTGCAAGGCATCATCAACCTTTTTATTCATAAGTTTAAAAAAAAAAAAGGAAAAAAAAATCCATAGTGACCAGAAACCTGAGCCCTCTGGAAACAGCCAGCCAGTGACGGTGACCTTTGCCTTGAAAATCATGGGCAAAAATTCCCCTTGGTTTCCCTTATATTTCCTTGGGGGTGAGGGGGGTGGAGGAGGAACAACACAAAAGAATAGGCTGGTTTTATCCCGTGATCGCTTTCTAGGCCCGCTGCTCCTCAGTGTTTCTGAGGCTGTTACAGAATCAAGAGCCTTGAGGCTACATGTCAATTCAGGGGGCTGTGTGCCTGGGCTCCCCGGGAACACTCTGCCTCTGTCCTCCTCTGTGCAGGGTGAGATCCGAAGCGGCAGGCGGGGAGGCTCAGAGAACACATCCTCCCCAGCCTCGGAGACGGCCCCGCGGCTCAGCCAGTAAGCAGATGGGGCACGAGGAAAAACCCTCGCTGGATGACTCCCAGGGCCCAGAGGCCACAGAGCCTGGCAGTCATGGGACCTAAGAAAGTGAGACACGGATATTCTTTATGGCACTGCTTCCTGTCTTCTGCTCTGAGCTCACCAGAGCCTCACTCGCCCACTGGGTGGCTGATGTGAGCAACTGTCTCCAGCAGCCAGCGCTCTGACACCACACGGTCCCCGGGTTCATCAGTCTCCAGACACCCCCACTTTGGGGACGGTGCGCCTTTTCTAGGCTCTCTGGATGAGGAAAACACACCCACAAACCACCCATCCTCATTCCAGCGAAATCAGCCTTTTCCCCAAAGATGCTGGTCCCCAAAAAGACAGCTTTTTAGACTAAAGCTCTGGGAAGTCAGATGCAGGCAAATGAAGCAGAAATGTTTCCAACAGGGGATTAAGAACAAGTTCATCCCCCCTCCCTCCCTCCCCTCATCCTCGCCGCTTTTTATCTCCATGACACAGAGGAGTCTCAGAGGCCGGTTTTGGGAGATGGCGTGGGGTCATAATCTGTACAGGGCACTGCAGACAGACAGGGTCCTCCGGAAAACTCCACCCTCCGAGCAGCAACAGCCAGCTTTCACCCAGAAACCGAGACGCGGGAGAGAGACAGAAATCGGCAGTGGTGATACATACTAGGTTTGCTGGAAGCCTCTGAGGAGCAGGAGGAGGGGGCGGTGGCTGGCTGGAGAGGCAGATGTCAGCACCACAGAAGAGGTCCCCGACCGCCTGCCATGGTCACATCGTGTGATCTGAACGGTCCCTGGCCCCTGGCCTCCCCGCTCCCTGGAGAAGGATGGATGTCTGAACAGGAGGCTGGATGGAGCCCTCCAGGGAAGCAGCAGAGTGCCCGTCCTGATGGAAGGAAGGATGGCGTTCCCACCCAGACAGCAAACGGCTCTGCTGGAACCCTTGTTCTTCCCTGATATTTGGGTTTAAAAAAGGCCCTTGTCCCTGCCTATCCTGATGAAAGAGGGCTATTCAGAGGGAGCAAAACAGCTGAAGTTCCTCTAATCACTTTTACTCCTACGGCTTTTTGTGGGCCTCAGGAACAAGCGATAGGGTGTGCATTAGAAACTGCGAGGAAAAACAGCTGGCGGCCCAGAAACCCGCCCCGAGCCATGAGGACCCCATTCTTGTTCAAACAGAGACTGAAGATTTCTGTTTCTTTCAAATCACCGTCCATTCACCCAACAGGGACTGTGGGCAGTGGCCACGGTGTGTTTTTAAAAGCACAGACATGTCCTGGAAGTCCTTCAGTCGTGCTAACCGCTCCTCGAGGAGGCAGATCTGGGGTGTGTGTGTTGGGGGGGACGGTATTCCAGGTAGAGGGAAGGGGAGGGGCTCTGAGAGAGGGGCACAGGGTGGGCTTCGCAGGAAGAGCACGTGGGTGTCCCAGAGGGTGTGGGACAAGACGCTGAAACCCACCTGGCGGAGGCCAGCTCTGCTTTTACTGCTTCTTTTGGCAGAGAAAATATTTAGGTTAAGGACGCAACTAACTATATACGATGCCAGGCAGGACGGTTTAAACTCCCCGTGAAAGGAAGCCTGGAGGGCTGGGAAGAAAGTGCGTCTGAGCCGCGGGCTCTGCAATGTTCTGTGAAGGAAGGGCACAGAGAGACTTCTGGGAGGGCCTCGCCTGCAAGGTTCTCCCAGCTCCCAAATGATACAATTAACCTGCACAAGAGGATCAAGTGAAACACACGCTACAATCGCTCTTGCTCTGTGGTTGAGGAAACTTCAGCCGCAAGAGCATAATCTTTATGAGATGGGCTGAGGCCCATGCCCACCTTCTTAACCCCTGGAGCACCCTCGCTGCGGCCCGTCCCAGAGGACCAGAGTGGAGACCCTGCAGGCCCCTCTGGGGCCAGGCGCAGCAGCGCTGAGGAATCAGGAGAGGACCCGTCCCCCGCCCTTCTTCCCAGCACGTGGGTTCACCAGGTGCCGGAGAGAGATGGGCAACAGCCTCAGAAAGAGAAGACCCGGCGTCAGCCCGGGGGCGCCACCATCACTGTTTCGGGACAGGACACAGCACCCAGTCCTTCTGGACTGAATGGGGGTCCTGGGGGGGGTGGGGAGGGGCAGAGCCACGCTGGTCAAGAAGCTGCTTCTCACCGACTGCCGCTGCCCGAGCGCCCACCACGTGCCACCCCACCTACTCCCCAAGCTCTGCGGGAAGACGTTCTCTTCCTTCTCACGAATGAAGGTCAGTCCAGCTCTGGGGGAGAGCCTGGACAACCTGATTTTTAACCCACTGCCTCGATGACTCTGAGCGCATGTTGAACTTTAAAATCATACAATGTGCTGGTCTGGGAATCCATATTTCTGGGTTCTAACGCCTGGTCTGTGTATATTCTGATATTCCCTTACAGGGCTCTGTTCAGCCATTCAAATAGCCAAGTATTTGCAGAGTAAGGAGAACCACAGTAAGCCAAGCCTAAATCAGTGTCGACCAGGTAAAGACAACAATCTTTAAGGGATGGGTCCACATTTGAGCAGTTTGGATGTGTGGCAGGCCACTTAGAAATATAATTCCTTGAAGAAGGGGAACACTCGGTGTAGAGACATCGCACAATAGAACATGATACTAATGCTTTTAATATCCAATTCGGTCGTACGTGGTAAGAATCTACAAAACTTCTA